ATAAGTTTAGTCTGGGCCGTCCAGACCGACTACTCAGCGTGCTGGCTGTGTTGGTTAGTTTTGGTTTGACATAGTCATACGTTTCGGTTTGTAGACTGGATGTTTTTACCTCTGGAGTCAAGAACCTGGTTCGAATACCTACGCTTATAGAAGCAGCATTCAAATTTTAGCATGACGTTTTCTCATGGCAACAGTAGCATAAAAAAGATTAATGTCTGGTTTGTTGCTTTTATTTACTTTTGACATAGTCTGGTGATACGGTATCATAAATTCATGTTTAGATCTTTTTGTACCGAATAATAAATGCCAGTTTTGGCAAAAAAAAAAAAACACCCAAAAAGGTCACATGGTATACAAACTAACGCTCCAGGATAAACTTGTTCTCCTAGGTCTAATTTATCAAAAAGGTGTAACTGGTTAATTTTGTACAGGCAGTCTATGTGCCAGACTAGGTGTATCAGTCCGTGCCATTCCAACGTGTCATCAAATCCTTTTTGTCTTTCCACGCCCATAGTAAAGCTACCGTACAGTCGTAGAGCCACCGTATACAGTCATAAAGCCACCATACGCTCCGTACTGTGTGGGGTGACTAATGCCACAGCGAGCCCATTCCCTGTCCAGATCAGATTTGTGCTGCTCTATTAATGATGGTGGAACCACGGTCTCCTTTAATGCTGAGGGTGAAGAGCAAGGGTGGAAGGTCTTCATCGCACGGCCACGCAGGTCAATGCTTCTTTTACTTGCTGCTTGGGGTTGGTCACAGGTAAACATAAAGCTACTTGTGTGAGTTAGGAGAAAATTCAACCAGCCATGGCCACCTCCCCCTTGAGTTGACTGGTGACTTCCTCTTCCTTCCAGTTATTATTGCATAAAGGAATATTTAATTGCTCCTTCCACTTGGCCTGAAGGAAGGGTGTTCAGAACATCCATAGGCTCCAGCCAGGTGTGTTATTTTCTATCGGTCTGCACAGCAACAGCCATTTACGCTCTCAGCATGGCAGTATCTTGCAGCAGGTTTATCCCATCTATTCAGAGGGAAGTGATCTTCTAACTAATGCTTATTCGGGTCAGTTTGTGGTTTAACAAACATTTTTAGAAAAGTCAAAAATGTTTGAAAAAATATAAAGGTGAAAAAGAAGGCATAGCAAACGTGATGCCAAAGTTAGCAGTGAGTTCTAAACCTGTGCTTAATTTCCAGTGCACGTCTTGATCCATGCTTTCAACCAAATTGCTTGTCGTGCAGGTTGTTCAGGAGAAAATGCTCACAGGCTCTTCAACAAATTCCTGTTCCTTTTCCACAAATGTACAAAGACTTCTCAGAGAACACAGAAAGAATGAAACAATAACTGCAGGGAGACGGGTGGAACTTTTCAAGGCAACCGACAAAAGCAACTGAAGCACAAGTCTTGTTGGTAATGGAGAACTCCTGCTATTGAAAGAAGACCAAGAGCCCTTGAAATGTGTTTTAGGCAATTTTTAGTTCAGAAGACGGGAGAAAACTGTTGGAAACACTATTTAAAATCTTGATTAATACAGGAGAATTTGAAGGTGGCGTGACTAATGGGCAACGAGAGAGAAAGAAACCCGTCGATAGAACGTGAAACCATTGTAATGTGGAAGAAAGATAGGAAGCATAGTAAAGACCGACATAAAGATGAAGAGAAGTACGATGTAGCTGAAATGGCAAGCTTTGAAAATATTTAAGTGGTCTTTAGGAATTGTGCAAAAAGTGGAAACAAGCAGACAACTGAAAATTAGTAGATGGAATAGAACGGGCGTGTAAGAAGGAAAGGAGAGACAAAGGTCCGAAATTAGTTGCAGTGAGGAGGGAACAGAAAGGGATATGGGAACACATTCTATTTATACACGTCGGAAGCAAAAGCAAAACAAAATAAAATCTTACTAGTGACAGAAAAGGAGAACACGTAAAGGCACAAGAAGAGCTGTGTCGCCTTTGCTTCAGCCTTCAGATAAGGTGAATTGCCACCAGTTACTAAACCCAACCTTTTGAGGAAGGTGACAGCAACAGGTAGCGGCAGGAAGGAACAGCCTAAATTGCATTTGGTTGTGAGGTCGGCAGTGCCTGGACGGTGCGCTCCCCGGTATTTAGGAGGCCAGTCATAGACAATTTTGAATAATCGGTGTGTATCTACGAAAAAGCGGTGGCATTTGTTGGTTTGGCATTGTCTGGACCCGCAGATGGAAAACTGCTCAGCTGAACTCCGATGTCTGGGAAGATAATGAACTACCGACGGCTAAGCACTTTGAGAATGCGGTAACGTAAAAAGTGACAAATCAAAAATCACCATTAATTTGTCAAGGAAAGGGGGAACAGCTGTTCCGGCAGCAGCCCTGAAAGGGATCCGGGGATTACAGGGGATCAGGAAAAGAATCTGAATCAAGATGGTGATGCTACTGCAAAGTCGGCAAACACCGCGCAGAGACAGGTTACCTAATTAACCTGATTACTGGATATAGATGGAAGAATGCAAAGTTGGAAAGAGTCCGGAGCGGGCTAAGAATGAGAAAAGGTTTAGAAAACACAGCCTATGGGATTGGGAGGCCTACGAGAATGTGTTTGAGTTTACGGGAGAGCATAGTATTATGTGAGACGATCCACTATCCAAAAAGTTACTGTGAGTCGATGTCGCTTAACTGTTCTTTGCATCTGCTAGAGGCTGGGCAAAGCTACTTTATTTAACTGACAACCAAAGTACAGTTAAGATGCCGGGGAAAACTGTGGCTTTAAGGACAGCTGAGTACTGAAAACAGTCTATCTAAGAAGGCTGCAGTATCTCCTTTACGGCAGGTTTTTAGAAAGAGCTCAGAGAGGCTTTTGGCAGGAATAGTCACACCACGGAGCAGCAGCTCGCGCTTTAAGTCCTAGTAGCGAAGCGCTTTGGTGGTATTAATACGTGCCTTGTGCCTTCCCCATAGAAACAGGCAAGACCGACGGCAGAAACCCTGGTGGAAATTCGCAGTTCTGATGGGAAGGCGAACAGGTCTTCCTCAACCCGTGCAGGAGCCCGAGAC